TTTTTTTTTTTTTTTTGTTAACATAGAATCTGACTTTCATCCGTGGAATCGATCATTAATATGTGTTCTTTAACAAAATATTTTTCTACACTAGAGAGAATAAATAAATTAAATATTGTGTATATATATTGTACACAACACATGTACATAATGTGTATATTGAAATACCTATTATATCACACTAAAAAAGAATATTGCGTGGTTTAATAACAGGAAATTGAAGAAATTTTAATGCTTTATTCTAATTATTCCAGACATACGATAATATATTGTATAGTAATTTTTCATGTTAAACACGCAAATATTTATTTAAATATGTTATTGAATATACATGTAAACATATAATGGTTTTCAACGACACGTAACGTCGAATAATACGATTCATTAAAATAAAATTTGTTCGCAACGATCTTATGAGATAAGAATTCGAGATTTTGGAGCATCGCGTTCAAATATTAATACCACTGGGCGAAAATCAAACGATTTTCAGATCCGATATGCGTACATATTCTAACTCCCTCCCAGATAATTTTTCCTTTATAAATGCATGCTTTTTTACGCACTTTAGTACAAGATTACGCAAGTACACACACACACATATGCACACACAATATCGAGAATAAAAAATACCTTTCTCCTTTTTGAGTCTTACTGTTTTTCAACAATTACACAGGCAGATTAAATCGGACCCATACACCAGCTGGTTAAACATATATATGTATATATGTATGTATATATATTAAAACGACAAAGAATAGAAGAAAAGAAATGTAGAAGTTTAATGGGTTATGCCTGTGCGCAATGCCTATCCGAGATTAAATTATGTCTATACATATGCGGCTGTTCTAGTTTCGTCTTCGTTCTGGTTTCTTTTAAATCGAATGAAACTCTTATTCAACAATTCGTCGAATTCAAATGGATTGATCAAGGACACGTAATTTATCGAAACGAAGGTTTCATTAAATAACGATAAACGTTGCATATAAAGAAACTTTCGTCTCGTGATATATCGATTATTGTCTGTTTGCAATAGCAGCTATCGATGAGTTAATCGCTAAGATTTTCTTTCTATTTGTTTGACGCGGAGCATAGTCAAGAAGTTGTAAAAGCGTGATATCATTACATCGATAAAATAGATGATATATACATCACGATCGAGGTTCTATCATGCGTGGCAGAAAAAAAGAAAGAGAATGAAAATGAAAAAGAAGCTGGCAAATCATTGTCGATTAACAATGAAGTTGACGCCAAGTTTTGATTACATTCTGTTATAATTTCTTTTTAAATACATATGTAAATACATATGTTTCTTATATTTACAGAAATATGAAGAATCCTTAACGAGAATATATATCGCATTTCAATATGAATACAGAAAATTTATATCCGATATATATGCATATCGATGCGGAGATGACGATTCGCCGTTTCTTAATGAAATTTTTCAATTTTTAATATTCGGTTCTGTAAATCGAAATCATTAATCGATTTATTTTCCATTTTCAAATATGATGCCCTCGTTCTATTTCTCCTCCTCCTTCTTCTCTTCCTCTCTCTCTCTCAAGAACGCTCGATCGTGTCAAACGTTCGCGATGAATTTGCAAATCGAATTGACTCGCGTTTCTTATCGGGAGTAGGTCGGCGTTCGCGTGATAACGTAACGCAACCTCGAGAATTCACTGAATTCGCGGTAGAAAACTGTTCTTAACTATATTTTTATTATATTTTCATTATAATATATATATATCTTTAATTATTTTTTATTTTATTCAAATTTGAATAATGCAAATTCTAATCTAATTTTCATTTCTCATTTTGGTATCTTTTTTGATACCATCTCTTTCTACTATACATATTATTATAATAATATAATAACATATATGAATGTACAGAATCTATAAAGATTCAAACGTTTTATATTATTAGAAATATATAGTATAATAATTTCATGCAGAAAATATTATATGATAAAATCAATTTTTTGTTAGAATAATTTTACGTCAGAGATTTATAATAATAGGCAATTGTAAATAACAATCCAATTAGTTCCTTTGTTTTTCCATATCGATTCACAATAGCTTAGGATCCTTTATACAGTCATGAACATACCATATAATTTCTATTCTTAACAATCTCATGCATTTTTCACGATGAAACAACAAATATAATGATCAACGAAGATATTTTATATCGATATACATACATGTAAACATTCTATTTACTTATTTCTATCTATAAATATATTCTATATATTCTATTTAATATATTATGTTATTCTAAATGATGTATCCATTATGCACTATATGGAATTACTAAGAAGAAAGAGAACGCGTTATCGAATATATACGAGTTTTGTTTCTATATCGTTCTCTTTTAAAAAGAATTTATCTTAGCATGCATTACATTTATAAAAAAAAAAAAAAAAAAAAAAAAAAAAAAAAAAAAAAAAAAAAATAAATAAATAAATAAAATTTTTTCATTAGTTTTCCGCCGCGAATTCACATAAAATATCTTGTAATTTGCAAATTCGTCGAATATTTTAGCAATTTTTTTCCTTCAATGACTACAAGTTTATTTACTTTGAATACATCCGATCATAATCAAGATATATTCATTCGTCATACTTTCAAATAAGCGATCATAGAGCACGAAGAGTTATTGATCACCGATAAATTATCGGATTGATCAGACAAATATGAAGCATCGCGTCGAGAACGTGTCTAAATTCAATTTTTTTCCTTCCTCATTAAAAACAAAGCTGCGAATTTCCAATCGTTGAGATACCGCCTCCCTCCATGATTTTGTTTAAGTAAAAAAGATAATCATGACAATATTTAAATTTTTCATCCGATTCGATTTAATTATTAAGAATTTGGAGAATTCTTCATCATACCTGCTCATTATTATAATTATTTTTATTATTATTGCGGTTTCCCTGCAGCCATTCAGGGAATCCAAAGCAGGTGATTCTCCATTTAAATAAAAATTAATGATCTTTGAAAGATCGACAATATCTCAACTGATTAAAAATTCGCATATTTGACGATATTTGATGATATATCAATGTATCTTTACTTCGGTGCCTCGATCAATCAATATATCTGTTAGCTAATGCGTCATCGACGCATACGATTTTTGAACGCACACACTTATTCTTACGATCTAATACTATGTACCATGTATATATACAGTTTGCGCTAAACAAAGGAGTAAATAATATTTAGTCTAATTATATTTTTGGAAACATTATCGACATAGAATTCTTTCATCGTATTAACTCGTTGTTCCATCTCAAGAATGCAGGGAGTGAACTGCGTATTTTGTATTCGAAATCATCCTTTCAATTATTGTTCTTCCTCCTCGTTTTGATACGTTACGTAACGTACAGACGATTTTTCGCCAATTATCAATGACTGAAAAATTAATTCACGATTAATATAAACGAAAATGATTATTATAATATTTAAATAATAATTATGACTTTTCTAACTATGACTTTTTTATAGATTAACTAAACTTTACCTTTTTCTCTTCTTTCGTTGGCGGTGCTCGTAAAAAGTACATCAATGGAGCATAAATAAAGTTTAAAATAGCAATGCCAAATAACATCCACTCAAAACCAATACTGTTGACTAATGTACCACTCAAAGCAGGTCCTGATAACGAACAATTAATAATTAAATTATTATATCGATTATAAAAAAAAAAATATATATATAAAAATATATTATTTAAAAGTTTTAAATACAAATGAAAAAGGTTAAAGAGATTCCTAACAATCAGAAAAAAATAACTATAATCCACAAATATCGATATGACTCATTGCGATAGAATTTGTAGAGCAAACAGTCTATTCGAGATCTATTCATTTCGAGAATAGATTTGTTGCGAGAATAAATTATTTTTTCTTTTTCTTCTTTCGTTTCTCGTCCCCTTTATTATTACCTGTTACGATACATGAATCGTAATTATTCGCATACATACCAATTGCGAAACCTAAGCAGAACGCAACATCTCCAATGGCATACACGCTTCCATAAACAGCAGTATGTCGTATGTCCACTAAATATCCTAATTGGGGCATCATCGAACTGTCCACCATACCAATAGCAAATCCCAAGCCTGCATTAGGTACGATCAAATGGTTGATACTTCTAGCTAGCGGTATCTGTAAATAATATATTGAATAGAAAGTATAAAAAGATACTAAATTTTAAGTAAATAAAAAGGTTAATATAAATTTTAAGTAAATAAAAGGTTGATATAAACGATATGATTATTTAATTATTCATAAAATACTTACACACATCAAGCAAATACCAATCACAACAAGACCGATCAATGAAGCTAACCACCTATAATAAAAATAGAAAAATACGTTAACAAATCGTTGAATAAGTTATATAAATAAAAGCAATAATAAAAAATATCTATAGAAAGGAGAAAAAGAAAGAAAAAAGGAATAAATAAAAAGAAAAAATTAATT